ATGCTCTGAAGAGTACACCAGGCCCTGTAGGTGCTAGGTGAGAGGCACAATTGCTGAACCGTGTCTCTACCCCTCAGGGGTGGATTCTAGCATGTTCTCTAACTCTGAGATATGTAATCAGTCCCTGTTTTTCTGAAGTAGCTTCTGATGTTAGACCCTGCACTATCCTCAAACTTAAAATCCTCCTCTCTTTTCTGAGATGCCTGGCTGTTGCTGTGTAGTCTAGGCATGCTTGGACTCATGATCTTCTTGCCTCCACCTCTCAAGTTATGGGACTATAAATGCATGCCACCATGTCTAGCCTGAACAAAAAAAATTCTTATTGGACCTCAGATAACTTTCTATTGAGACCAGTAGAACTTACAGCCCAGAAGAATAGGAGGGGGTGGTCAGGCTTACCACAATCAGTCAGTATTCAGTAGCATCTTTGAGTAATAGACAAAGAGGGCCCTATATTGGTATGTGAGATTGGAGGAAGGAAAGAGAAAGCCTATTTCATAAGCTCCTGTGAGGGTTGGATCTGAAATTGTGTATACTGGTAACTTACCTCTCGATATAGCATATGATTGTTCTGGTTTCCTTTCTGCTGCTGTGATAGGATACCCTGTCCAAAAGCTGCTTAGGAGCAGAAAGGGTTATTTGGCGTAAACTTGCGGATTATAGTTGGCACAGAGTCAGTAAGAACTCAAACAAGTCCAGATGCCTAGACACAGCCATAAAAGCACAATCAATAATAAATAGGACAGTATGCCTCCACTAGAGCCCAGAAACCCTACCACAGCAGGCCCTGAACATAGCAAAATCACAAGAAAAAGATCTTAAAACAGTCTTTATGACTATGATAGAGGTCCTTAAAGAGGTAATAAATAGAATCCTTAAAGAAATCCAGGGACACACCAACAGTGGAAGAATATGAATTAAAGTGCTCAAGACCTGAAAATGGAAATAGAAACAATAAAGAAAATTTAAAAAGAAAGGAAAAATATGAAAGAAAAGAACCCTTCCCAAACTGGAGGAATCATGAAAAATTTAGAAAGTTGAAAAGGAACAAGAGGCAAGCTTCAGCAACAGAATATGAGACAGGACAGAATCTTAGGCATTGAAAATATGATAGAAGAAATGAATACATTTGTTAAAGAAAATGTTAAATCCAAAACACTTCTGACACAAAACATCCAGGAAATCTGTAAAAGACCAAATCTATAAAAAGACCAAAGCTAAAAATAATAAAAATAGAGGAAGAAGAAGAAACCCAGCTCAAAGGTCCAGAAAATATTTTCAGCAAAATCATAGAAGAAAAATTTTCTAACCTGAAGAAGTAGATGCCTAAAAAGGTACACAAATCATGCAGAACACCAGTTAGACTGGACCTGAAAGAAAGTCCCCATCAGCACATAATAAAATAAAATCACTAAAAGTGCAGAAGAAAGAAAAAAATATTAAAAGCTGGAAGGGCAAAAGACCAAGTAACATATAAAGGCAGACCTACTAGAATTCCATCTGACTTTTAAATGGGGACTTTAAAAGCTAGAAGGGCCTGGTCAGACGTGTTGCAAACTCTAAGAGACCACAGGTGCCAGCCTAGACTGCTGTACTCAGCAAAACTCCCAACCACCAAAGATGGAGAAAGCAAGGTATTTTGTGATAAAGTCAAATTTAAACAATATTTATCTACAAATCCAACACTGCAGAAGATTCTAGAAGGAAAACTCCAACCTGAAGAGGTTACACACATGAACACAGGAAATAAATAATCTCATGCCAGCAAAGCAAAGAGAAGGCAAGCATGTGAACACACACACACACACACACACACACACACACACACCACCAGCACCACCACCAACAGCAACAACAAAACAAGATAAGAGAAATCAGCAATCATTGGTCATTGATTTAATTGATATAATTGGTCTCAATTCCCCAATGAAGAAAACAGACTAAGAGAATAGACTTGAAAACAGGAGCCATCTTTCTCCTGCACCCAAGAAACACACCTCAAAATCAAGAAAGGCATTACCTCCAGGCAAAGGGATAGAAAAATATATTCCAAGCAAATGAACCTAAGGTAGTATAGTCATTTATTTAATATCTGACAAAAAAGACCTCAAAACAAAACTAATAAGAAGAGATAGTGAAGGACACTACATACTCATTTTTTAATAAGCCACCAAAAGGACATTGCAATTCTTAACATCTATGTCCCAAACACAAGGGCACCCAAGGTGGTAAAAGAAACTCTAACACACCTTAAATCACACCTTGACCTTCACATATGGATGGTGGGAGACTTTGATACCTTACTCTCATCATAGAAAGGTCAGCCAGACAAAAACTAAATGGAGAAATGTTGGAACTTACAGACATTATAAACCAAATGGATCTTTGCAGGACGTTTTTCCCATATACAAAAGAACATACCTTCTTCTTTGCATATCATGGAACTTTCTCCAAAATTTAACACATACTCTGAAATAAAACAAGACTCAACAGATACAGTAAGATTGAAATAACTCCCTGCATTGTATCAAAGCACCATGGATTAAAGCTGGATGCCAACAAAAGCAGATCCAACAGAAAGCTTAAAAACTCACAAAAACTGAACAACTCTCCACTAAATGAAAAATGGGTCATAGTGAAATTAAAGACTTTCTAGAATTGAATAAAAATGAATACATAACATACTTATGGGACACAATGAAGGCAGTTCTAAAAGACAAGTTCATTGCTTTAGAGGCCTACATTAAAACAAAACAAAACAAAACAAAACAAAACAAAACAAAAAACAACAGCTGGAGAGTTGTCATTGCTAGGAGCATAACAGCATGCCTGAAAGCTCTAGAACAAAAAGAAGAAATCATAGCCAAAAAGAGTAGATGGCAAGAAATAATCAAACTGAAACCAATAAACTAGACATAGAACAATACAAAGAATCAATGAAACAATATCCAAGTTAACAACAGCAGAAATAAAAAAGGAACGCAATATATATCAGGAGACTCCAGAGACTCATAAAGACACACTTCAATAACTTGAACGACAACAAATTGGAAAATAGTATACATAAGTGACCCTAAAAATTCCTCTGGGGAACTCCTAAAGCTGATAAACACTTTCAGCAAAGTAGCTGGATACAAAATTAGCTCACAAAAATCAGTATCCCTCCTTTATACAAATGACAAATAGACCGAGAAATAACAACAAAAAACCACCTTTCACAATAGCCTCAAGTTATATAAAAATATATTGGAGTAACTTCAACCACGTAAGTAAAAGACATTTATGAAGAAATCTTCAAGTCTTTAAAGAAAGAAATTAAAGAAAGTATCAGAAGATGGAAAGATCTCCTATACTCATAGATCTGTAATATTAATATGGTCAAAATGGTCATCCTACCAAAAACAATCTACAGATTCAATGCAATCCCTATCAAAATTCCAACACAGTTTTTCACAGATCTCGACAAGAGAATTCTCTATTTCATATGGAAAAGCACAAAACCTAGAATAGATAAAACAATTCTGAACAACAACAACAAAAAGAACAGCTGGAATTCTCATAATTTCTAATTTTAAGTTGCACTACAAAGCTATAGTAATAAAAACAGCGTGGTATTGGCATAAAAACAGTCTCCAAATAATGGGAGAATCCCAACTGGACATCTCTTGTCTTCAAAGGAAGCTTCCAATACCAAGACTGGGTTACATCCAATTTAGTTGCTGGTCAAAGGGGTCCCATGGAAATCCCCAAGCACGACAATAGGTTGCTCTCCACAAACTGACAGCAAGGACCCATTGCTGAAGACAACACCTACAGGACTCATTGAAAATGGAGGGGTGGAGCTGATTCTTACACAGAACTTCCACACATACAGTCTAGTGTCTTTGGTGCAGGCAGCTATTCTGCAGGCTGTCAAAAGAAAAAAGTACACACCAAAGCAGCCACAAACCCTTTGCCCTCCAAGGCTTTTCTGCCTGCAAAATATGCTAGGGCAATGGTGCACTAAGCTTGTGGGAGCAAGCAATCGAATCTGATTTTACTTAAGGCTCACTCCACAAGATGGAGCTTATACCTGATGCCTGGGTGATCAAGAACCAGAGGCTAGTTAACCTAGAGACCTAGGGTAAATCCGAATAGTACTGGCCTTAAAAAAAAAAAAAAAAAAAAAGTAGCTGGGTGGCAGTGGCACATGCCTTTAATCTCAACATTCTGGAGGCAGAGACAAGTGGATTTCTATGAGTTGGAGAGTTCGAGGACAGCCTGGTCTACAAAGTGAGTTCCATAGCAGCCAGGGCTACACAGAGAAACCCTTTCCTAAAACAAACAAATAACAACAACAAAATGAAGTGATAAAATGACACCTATAATATTGGACTATACTCTTAGATCAGTGCCTTATTCAGCCGCCATCAGAGAATATTCCTTCTACAGCAGGCGGGGCAAATACAGAGACCCACAGCCAGACAGTGCAGAGAGGGAGAAACCTTGAAACACACAGCTCTAAGTGGGATGTCTCCATCAAATTTCTCCCCTCAGATCTCGATGAACCCTGCAGAAGAGGAGGTGGAAAGGGTGTAAGAGCCAGAGGGGATAGAGAACAAAGTCCTCTAAATGAACTGAGCAAATCTCATATAAGCTCACGGAAACTGAAGCAGCAATCATAGGGCCTACATGAGTCTGCACGAGGTCCTCTGCATGTATACTATAGATTTCAGTTTAGTGTTTTTTATGGAACTCCTGAATGTGTGAATACTCCTAGGTCTTGGGCTTTATCTTAGGTTCTTTTCTTTTGTTGGTTTGGCTCGTACAACTTTGAAGTTATTGTTTTTCTTTTTATCTTATTGTATTTTATTTGGTTCTGTTTTGTTGTTACCTTTTAGAAGCCTCTTTTTTTTTTTTTCTAATGAGAGACAAAAACGGAGTGAATTGGGATGGGAAGGGAGGAGGAGCTGAGAGGAGGAGAGTAATAACTGATATCAGGATACATTTTGTGAGAAGAGAATCTATTTCCAATAAATCGCAAAAAGCAAACAATCAAGAATCCAGTTCTAATGCCAAAGATGAGTTTTCCTGTTTTTAAGATTTGTGCTAATAACATAACACACTAGAGACCTGTGTCTGGATTATATCACTCAGTGTTACATTTGCAAAACGCTCACATGTATCAGATGCTATTTCTCCATCCCATAAACATTATGTAATTTGTTTGTCTGTCTTACTTCTGATGGGCATTGGGTGCATTCCACTGTTTTTATAGGACTTGAGATCAAACACATTAGGGTCTCAGACATACTAGGCAACCCTTCCACCACTGAGCTCTATCCCCAATCCTTCTCTGAACACACTGTGTAAGCCTGATGAACAGCTGCATCTTGCAGTTGTGAGCAGAATTGCTGCACAGTTTGGTAGTTATTTATCTTTCATTGACAAGCACTGACTGATCACCTTTCTGTTTGCTGGCCAGTCACCTAGACTATTTTTTACTGGATTGTCTGATGTTTTTATTGATTTGTGGAAGATCTTTATATATTAGTTTTATGCCCTGTGATTGATAACCTTGCTGGATACAGTAGTCTGGGATCTACATGGCATCTGTGTGATCTTTCAGAGACTGCAGAACATCCAGCCTGAGTCCAATCTGCGATACATGTAGCTGTCACACTGTCATACTTCAAAACAGAATCACTTTAAGAATTAACATACGTTCTTAAAAATATACAAGTAAAATCCAAGTGTGCAATGAAGTCGGAATGTTCCTCCTTCTGCTGAGGCAACATAAAGCATCACAATCAACAATAAACACTACACAGCTCATGAATATGACCCCACTTTACAGAGGAGGAAGAGAGGGCACAGAGAGGGAAGGTGGCTTCTGTGGGGCAACACTGAATCTGGACTCGAACCCAGGACTCTCTACGGCCTTCATTCCTTCTGAGACTCCCTCCTTCCCCTTCATAGACTTTGGCTTAGAGGCCACTGATATCAGTCTCCCCCTAAAACACGCTGTCCCCAGCCACACTTTCCTGGGACTCCAGTCGTGCTGGGGCTCATGGGGCAAGGAGGGTCAGCACTTGTGGATCTTGATCTCTGCGTAATCAGACTTGATGGACTGCTCGTTCTGTGGCTGCCGGGGCTGCAGGCTTTGGAAGGAGACGGAGGCATAGTAGAGTTCAAGCTCATCCTTCAGGGTGAGTGGGGCTGTGTCAAGGCGCGGCTGTTCTTTCTGGTTCTGTGACCCTGATGCGTTCAGGTGACCCTGGAACCACATTGAAGAAGGGCATCAGTCAGGGCTTTGCAGATGGCAGCAAGGATCACCAAAGGAACTGGGAACTTGGCCACGGATCTGTTCATTTGTCTACTTCCCATGCGTTTCCTTCGTGCCTACTCCACGCTTTCATGCTTTCGCCTTAGCTTTAATGATACGTGAACATATGAATATGTGCCCACGCCCTACATTGCCCAGGTGTGTGCCTATGTGCACATACACCTGCATACGCAGCGCTCGTGATCACATCCAGGGCTTTGCACATGGTAGTCAAGGGCTCTAACAATGTGCAGCACCGTCCCCAGCTGGTGTCAATCTTACAGTCTCACTAAGTCCTCACAACTCCGTCCTTTCCCATTTTACGGATATGAACATAGTCTGATTCAAGTTAAGTAACTCACAAAAGATAGCACCAGACTGTCAAGAAGCCAGATGTGTCATGCCAGCAATCCCACCACTTGGGGATGGGGGGGGTGGAGGAGGGCTTTAGAAGGAAGATGGTGTCTGGGCCAACCTCTGGCTCCACGGTGAGTTCCAGAACAAGCTGGGCTACACCGAGACCCTGTCCCCAAAAACCTATAAGAAGTAAAATCTTAAAAAAAATAAATTAATTAAAACTTTATGCAATTGTAATCTGATTAGTAGAATCAGGAGCCTGAATTAGACACCCCCCGCCCCCGTGAGGCTCTCAGTACGTGGGAGAGCAGGGATAGGTCTGCCTGTCAGAGGCGGGCATCTTAACTGATGCATGGTCTTGATGTTGAACGCGTGGCACAGGTATTGTGAGGGAGCATCGGGGATGATGCGCTGTGAGAAGAGACGCCCTAGGTCTGAAAGGCCAAGGACCTCCAATTAAGAAAAATGTGAACGCATCATCAATAACTTTTACATTTGGTTATTGGTAATAAATTGGAATCACAGTCATTTGGATGTGTGGTCTGGAATAAAATTTGATATTATGTTTTTCTGCTTTTTAATGTGACTAATGAAGATTTTATGTTATACATACGGCCAACAGTCTTTTTCTTTACTTTTTTAAAAATCTTTAAAACTAAGTGTCTAAGTATCCCCGATTGTCCTGGAACTCCCCACGTAGCCCAAGTGCCTCAAACTTTACATTTTTCTTCTTCGTGTTTCTCAAGCGCCAGGAATATAGGCATGTGCCATCAAGCCCGACATCCTGTTGTCTCTGTCTCTGCCTCTCTTTCTCCCTGTGTCTCTTCTTGTCTGTCTCTCTCTTTCTTTTCCCCTCTCTCTTCCCCTAGTGTGGTTGGAGCCCAGGGTCTCGCACAATTTAGAAAAAAAAAAAAAAAAAACAAACTCTACGAAAGAGTTAGTCACATCATGAATGCATCACACTTAAACTCCAGCAAGCACCTCACCTCCAAGCCACACCCATTACCAAGTGCCCTACCCCTGGGCCACAAGACCAGCCCATCACTGGTGTATTCTATGCATTCCATCTCTAAGCACACCTTCTTTCTCCCTGGTGGGTCCAGGCAAGTGCTGCACCGCTGGACCACACTCCTAGCTCTCTTACCACTGCTGATTGTATAAGGATCTCCCAAGTTACTCTGGCAGACCCTCAACTTCCCAGGCTGCTGGCTTTGTACTCTCCATCCTCCTGCCTCAGCCTCCTGAGTGCTGAGGTCTGCCCTACCATGCCCAGCCTGACATTAGATTTCTGTTTGACAACACATCTTTGGATGGTAAGGACCAAGCAGGACTCAATAGCTGTGTTTGGAATTCCTGCGCTGAAGAGGCCGGTGCTGAGGCCCAGGTAAATGCTGTGAAAGCTTAGCAGGAAGTAGCTGCGTTGGAACAATGGACAGGAGACAGAGGTGGGGGCAAGAGCCAGGTCTGCAGCCTGCAGTAGGAAAGTTTGATGCTGTGGAGACATTTGAGGAGGCAGAAGCTCAGTTGTGATGTGCTGGGCTGTCCGGGTACCTGGGTTGGGGAGCTCACGGAAACACTGGGCAGAATCACGCTTCCGCCATTTACGGCAGGAGGGCTGCTCTCAACGCCTGCTGCTTTCAGGGCTGATTTCTTCCTGAGGACCTTCACTCTGGAGAAAGAGATCAGGGTTTTCAGCTCAGCTGGATGGATTTTGGGACCAGGAAAGACCAAGTACAGAGTCCATGTACTTGGGCTGCTCTGTGGGTTGAAGATCCTCAGCAGACAACTATGTTAGGCTCTCGTCTGCAAGCATAACAGAGTCGTTAGTAGTGTCAGAGGTTGGCTCTCTCTCATGGTGTGGCCAGGCATTGGCTGGACATTCCTTCAACCTCTGGTCTGTATTTATCCCCGCACATCTTGCAAGCAGGGTAAATTTTGGGTAGAAGGTTTTGTGGGTGGGTTGGTGTTTCCCTCCCTCCACTAGGAGTCCTGTCTGGTTAGAGGGTGTCCTCTTTGGACTTCATGTCCCCCTATCCTAGGGGTCTCAGCTAGAGTCACCCCTATATCGTCTCAGGGGCCTACCCTGTTGCAGGTCTCCAGCTTGTCTCAGAGATGTCCCTGCCCATGGTTTCTCTTCTCTCAGAGCCTAACATAGTTGTCCACTGAGAGGCTCATCCAGCAACAGATCGAAACAGATGCTGAGACTCATAGCCAAACCCTGGGCAGAGCACAGTCAGCCTATGGAAGAGTGGGGAGAAGGACCAAAGGATTCAAAGGGGACAGGAGCTCCACAGGAAGACCAACAAGGACAACTAAACTGGGCTCGGAGGGGGGGGGCGGGGCTTGCCAGATACTGAAGTTCCAACCAAGGACCATGTATGCACTGAACCTGTGCTCCCTACACATGTGTACCCAATGGATATCTTGGTCTTCATTTGGGTCCCCTAGTAATAGGACCTGACATAGTCAGGGACAGCTGGGGCATGCTTTTCAATAACTTCCTCCTAGTGGGGCTGCCTTGCCAGGCCACTGAGGAAGAGGATGCCTTCAGTCCTGATATGACTTTGATATGCTTGGCACCCCTCTTTTCTAAGGGGTAAGGGGGAGGGAGAGGAAAAGAGGGAGGGATGGCAGGACCAGGAAGGAGAGGAGGGAGGAGGCTGTGATTAGAATGTAAAGTGAATAAATACATTAATTAAAAATAGAAATAATAATAATACAAACCAAAACCAAAAAGATCCTCAAGTGGATAGGACTGCATGATTTGAACAGACCCCGTACTTGGCCAAGGTAGCAAGAGGTTTCTGCTAACCCTGGATCGTCATCTCAATGGGCTGAGTTTTAGAGATCCTTTGACCATTCCACAATCATTACATTACACCAAATGAGACCACCACTCACATGAAGAAGATGAGGCAGAGGCAGACAGCGAGCAAAGCCATGAGACCGGCTCCCCAAAGGGCCCCCTGGACCAATCCTCCACTACTGGTTTCTGGTTTGTCTGCCAACAGAAGAGACTCTGAGTGATGAAAAGTCTTCCTCCCAAACAGGCATCTTAGCGTCCTTACTTGTGAGAACGTCCACTTCCGTCCTGGTCTAGGTCCTTTCTACCTAGACCAGTTGTGTGTGACAACAGCTTCGTGTCCCCCAAACCTCCTACCAAGCCAGCAGATAGGAAATCATGAGCTCTAGCCCCATTTTAACTGAGTCAGCACCATTTTGCTCACTCCCAATGTCTTCTACGATTTAGACAGAAATCATTCCTTTTTCCACATCTTACCCTTTGTGACCTCTTTACTTGGCAGCAGCAAGATAGTAGCACCCTGAACCCCATTGTCATTCCAAGCTTCACAGCTGAGTCTATGGTCAGCCCTGAATTCCATGGAGAGGCTCAGGGAGCTGTTGGCCCATGGTCCTGTGGAGCTGGAGGTGACCTTGAAGGAGGCATTGCTGCTGTTCCCCTCCAGCAGGTCCTCCCCCAGCCGCCAGAGCAGGGACGGGGGAGGCCAGGCCCTGGAGGAGCAGCTGCAGTGCAGACCCTCAGCCTCCCAGGAGCAGGAGGGTCCCAGGAGCTGTAGAAGGCCTGGGGAATAGAACACAAATTGATCAGAAGGGTTTCCTAGGCTGTGGTCACAATGCCACATCCCTCATCAACTCCCAACTCACTCCTTACGCTGAGGCTCACAGAGGCCACCTGAGTACCCAGCTGGTTCTGAGCTTGGCAGACGTATTTTCCACTGTCCTCCAACTCCACCCGAGGCAGCTGCAGCTCCTTGGGGGTGGAGAGCGGGAGGTACTTCCGGGGCAGGTGTTTCCAGCTCAGCGTGGCAGGGGGGTTGCTGTCCGACACACAGACCAGGCGCAGGGACTCCCCCTCTTGGATTTGCAGAGTTGAGTCACTGTGCAGGACCTTAGGTTCTGAGAAGGCAGAGAGAAGGCCGAACCTGGTCGCAGAGGACGCCCCACCTTTCTCCTCCTTTTATCACATTTGTATCTCCTCTTCTTACCATGTCTATCTTTTCTTTTCTGCTTGCTGATGGCCTCACACCATAAAGAGTGAAGACAGACAGAATCTTTTACAAGTATGAGAGCATCAGAACCACCCTGGGCCCCACTCGTCCCTCCTGGCGTTTGTCAGCTCAGACACCCTGCTTGTGCTGTTCCTTCTATCTCTCAAAAACACTAAGGCCTGACTCAGTGAGCCTGACAGCTTCGTCCCAGGAGCTCACAGTCCTGCCAACAGGTACCCAAAGCAGGTATGGCACAGCACAGTAACAGTAACTGGTTTTATGGTGGAGTTGTCCTAAAGGCCCAGAGAGATTCCAGGAGGAGGAAGGCTGAGGGGGGACTGGAAGGACAGGGGAGCTGTCCGGGGAGAATGCCACAATGTTCTGTCCACGGTGAGACAAAATAACCCTTTGCTAGCCAAAGGACACTGAAGAGTCCCTTCCCCTGGCCATCGGCTGCCTCCTTAACAGAAAGCTCGCTTCAGATGACTTTGGAATCTGCCACAGACCAATCAGTACAGCTTATTGTTATTATTTTTTATGAGAGAGGGTCTTCCATACACCCCAGGCGGCCTCAAATTCCCTCTACAGATGAGGGTGACTGAATTTCTGAGCCTCCTGCCTCTACCTCTCCAGTGTTGGGATTACAGGGTGTGATTACCATGCTTGGTTTATGCAATGCTAGGGACTGAGCCCCAGGCCTCTGGCATGCTAGGAGAACACACAACCAACTGAGCCACACCCACAGCTCACAAATGATACTTGAACACCGTAAAAGAGACTGGGTTTCTTGAGAGAATGATAATGTGAAGAAAAACGACAGTGACTTCCCGTATGACATCAAGGAGGGTGGGTCTGTTTGTTAAGGAGAGGAAGACGTTGTTCCTGGAAATATGAATAAGGCAAAGTCCGTGTTGTGCAATTTGGCAGCGTGTGTGTGAAATACAAAGGACCCTCTGTTCTGGAACTCTCTTCCTTAGGAAGCAACTTTGTAGACATTGTCACAAATGTAGAGAGCTTTTATGTAAGCCATTTATTGAACAGAAAACAAGTAATGTCAGCGCTCTGTCAAGAGATAAGTAGGTAAATATGTAATCATATCATCGGAAAACCATGGAGTCGCTACTATGTGTGAAGAAGGAAGTCTCCAAGAAAGCTAAGTTTGGGGCGGGGTGGGGGGGTTAGTTCAGTCACTCGCACTTGACTGACACATGCATCATGGCAGTGTGAATTTGACCATGGAGGAACCATAAGGATAAGTAAGAATTAAGTTTGTAGGAAGAAACAAGATAAGAGACTTTAGGCAAGCTCGGACACCTAGGGCAGGCTTTATTCAGTACCAGAGAGTGTCTCCAGATTGGGCCACACAGTGATCAGGGAGCAGGGTTCAGAAACAGTGACCAGAGTTCATTAGGAGGCAGATTATAGGCTGCTGGGGCAGGAAAGGAGAAAGAGGGGTGTTAGAAGCGGCACAGGGAAGTTAGCTGCTTTTCTTAGACTAGCTGTTTTGAAACTGCAGGATCTGCTGTCTCTTTACAACAGTGTGTCTGGAGTACAATCAGCTATTTGCTTCTGCAATCCCCGTACAGTTGGCCTCCTGCAACTTTAAGTTAAGTTTAGAACCTTGACTTTTGTGGTGAGTTAGTTTCTTTAACAAAGGGTCTAGGGTTAGCTCAGTGGCATAGTTCCAGCCTATATGAGTGAAGAATAAAAAAAACAAAATAAAAAAATGATGAAGTTGCAAAGTAGTGTGTAAAAAAATATGTTTCTTTCTCACCCTAGTGTGTGTGTGTGTGTGTGTGTGTGTGTGTGTGTGTGTGTGTGTGTTTAAATGTGCATGCAAGAATATCTGTGATGGTCAACCAAGACAGGAGAATATTAGACACCAAGAACCATTACTATTAAATTTTTATATGGCCAGAATTATATTGTACTAAAATCCATATTTTTGAGCCTGACCACCAATATAATGGAGATGTCTTGGGAGATAATTAAGGTAGATGAGGCCACAGGATAGAGGTTCCAAAGGTGGAATTATTGGGCTATAAAAAGACGGCAGAGTGCTTGTGTGGTCTGTTTCTGCCACTTAGAGACAGGAGTGGGGAGAAGACCATCTGTAGCCCAGGCAGGGCACCATCACCAGGAACCAGGTGGACAGGCACCTGGAACTAGAGCTCCTGTACTTCAGAGCTGAAGAATCCATTTCTTCTGTGTAAGTCACCCTCTCTATCATGTTACAGAGGCTGAGGCATAATAAAACACACCTCACACTTTGAGTTTGACAAAATCAGCTCACAGAGAAGAAGGAAGCTGGGAAGCAGGCAGGACTCAGGTGCTGGGTGGGGGGCAGCTTGGGAAGGAAGACACAGTCCTAACACTGAAGCCTGTGCCTTGAGAAAGACGGAGGCCGTCAGGAAGAGTGCAGCGTGTGAAGGAAGGGAGCGAGTGAGGACACCACCCCACCCCTTCCCCATCCTGAGGCTCTTCCTGCCTAAGCTCCAGATCACCTGCATATCTCCTTGGGAGGAAATCCCTGCACCCATCCCAGGGAGGAGAGATTTAGCCCTACCTGAATCATCTCCCCTGGACACCCTGATGGTCAGCTTCTGTGGAGCATCTGGGCAGACAGACATGGTGGTTTTCTTTTCAGAGAGGAAGCAGCTGCTGGCACTCACCCCAGCACTCTTTTCTTCTTCCACACTTTCAGGACCCATCACCCAGTTCTACTCCCCTCCATCACACATGCCTAACAGCCCTTCCCCAGGGACACAGGTTTCCTGGCCTGGTACTCACAGGCAACACTGAGCTGTTCAGTCTTCTCCATAGTCAAACCAGCTCCTGGGAAGGTCACCTGACAGGTGAGGTTGGCGCCGTGGTCCTGGGGCCTGGGTGTGAGGTTCAGCTCTGAGGAGAGGGTGGTTCTGCGGCCCAGGGAGGTGATGGCAGATGACATCCAGGAAAAGATGGGGGGTGTCCCCCGCTCACAGGCCCAAGGCAGAGAGCAGATCAGTTGGGTAGACTTTCCAGACACCAGGGAGGTTGTGACTTGGAATTTAGGGATCTTAGTCAGAGCTGGACAGAGAAAGAGAGAGACACAAGACATGGTGAGGATCACTGTGTGTGACTATTTCAAGCCTGGCTCCCCCACCAACCAGCCTCATTATTTGGTCTACAGAGCACCCGGAGGCTTTAGAACAAGGACCCCCACATATCCGCTCATCACGTACCTATCACATTTACAGAGAGCGTCTTCTGTAGAAAACTGTACTTCATGGAACCACTTCCTTCCACCCTGAAGAAGTACACTCCTGTGTCACCTCTCTGTGCATCTCTGATGTCCAGGGAGCAATTACGGGTGTCTTGGCCACCCACAAGATGGAATCGACCTTGAACTTTCTTCAGTACTGAGCGAGCTGGGTTGTTGGTAGCCACTGGAGAGTCCTTGTTTGCATTGGCTCCATTCTGGAACCAATAGCCAAAGACGAAACCACTGGAGGGGTACTGAGCTCGGCAGGGCACAAAGAGGCACAAGCCCTCCTGCACCGTCACGGAAGTAGTCACCGAGAGCTCATATCCGTGCTGAGCCAGGGACCCTGCAAAGAAAGGAAGGTTATCTTGGTGCTGTCCCACCAGGCCTGTCCCTGTCCCTACTCACCTGCCCACAGCAGGGGCAGCAGGAGCGGCCACAGCATCACACAGTGAAAGGCCCTAGGCTCCCGTGGGTGGCCAGAGAAAGAAAACTTGGTCAGTCTGAAGTGGATTCTTGGGGCAAGAGCCACAGGCTTCAGTGTCATAGGACTAGAAGACTTCCTACTGATCTAGTCTAGGAATGAAGACAGAGAGTGACTGACCACAGAGAAGGAACTTTCCACCCACAGGTTATCAGAGCGATCAGTGCCCTTGGAGAACAAACACTTCCACTTTCCATGTGTGGCATCATGGGAGCCAGTCAGTGAGAAGGACCCACCCCTCCTCTCCTGAGCCCTGGGTAGCATTTGCTTCTCATCCGTCTTTATTGAGAGTTGATGGTCAGAGACACAGCTCAGCCTATGGTAAAGGCTGATGACCCACACTGTGGAAACAATGAACCAGCTCTCAAAAATTGCCCTTTGACATCCTCCCCACTTGTGCATGCGGGCATGCACGCGCATATGCAGAAAAATAAGTTTAATGATGTTTTCTTTAGTGTGTGAAGAAGAGGAGGAGATTGGGTCACTAATTGCTTAAATCACTTTCCTGTTGCTGTCATCAAATATCCGGACAAAAGCAACTTAAGGAAATAATGATGCGTTTTGGCTCAGAGTTAGAGGTTACAGCCCACTGTGGTGGAGACATTTCGACTGCAGGAGCGTGCAGCAGCTGACTGCATTGCAGCTTTGGTCAGGAAGCTGGATGCAGATGAAAGAAAGACTGTTCTCAGCTCCCTGGTCGAGGACCCCAACTGATGGAATGGTGCCGCCAAAATTGGGTGGGTTTTCTCACTGCCTTTAACCTAACCATGATACTCACCCGCTGCCATTGCAGGTGGGTTCCAGGGGAGTCTAGATCTCAAGTTTGCAATAGAGGTTACCCATCACACCACACACACACACACACACACACACACACACACACACACACACACACA